AAACAAGGCTCCTTTCATGCTGCTAGTTGTGCCGACAGCTAACACAAAGGAAGTATACAGCCATGTAAAACTATTAAACAATAACTTGAGGTCATCTAACACAACAAACAGTGCCAGGCGCTTTATGGATAGCATGTACATTTCCAAAGTAAGAAAAAGTGATACAAGATTTCATCACTTTCTCTGCGGTAACAACAGTAATGATTTGGCATTAAGGTGCATTAAGATTTCTTCCAGCAAAGCTAAAGTGCAAATCGAAAATTCTTCATTTGTCGGGCAAACTGTGAAAAAAGGAGAGGGCGGAGCCTTAAGTATTGAATGCAAACTCAACGCTTTCCTGGTTGTTACAAACACTACTTTTGAGAGAAACGAGGCATATTCCGGTGGAGGTGCGATTTCTTTCAACACTGTAAAAGGAAATCTGCTAACGCTTGAACTCACTAATGTAAATTTTTCTGAATGTGAATCCGAAACCCAGGGCTCTGCGGTTCTGGTTGGGAAAACTCACAGTCTTAAAGCTAAACCAAAAACTTATGTTCTGAACGCGTATTTTAGAAACGTCCATGTCAAAAACTGCGCCGGTTCAAACAGCAGTGTTTTTGTTATGATGAAGAGTGGGTTCGTGGAATTTGAACGCTTTCACTGGGAAAACACTGTTTCAAGGATCTCTGGAGGTATATTCGTAGCAAGTACTGGTACTTGGAAGACAAATGTTTCAATTTTGAAGTCTAATTTCACCGACAGTCATTACAATGGAAATGTTTTCGTGAGAATCGAAGCACTGAAAAAGCACAGAGGAAAGGTCTTGCTAGCCAACACGTCTATGTACAATAATCAAAATGGAGCCCTGATAATCAGCCCAAAATATGAAATTTTGCTCAAGAACGTGACCATCGCCTATTGCAGACACGGATTACAAACATCCAAAAAATGGTTGTTTCCCTGCGACGTGCCTTTGAAGCCTGTCAAAATCCTAATTGAAAACTGCACTTTTAAACGCAATGTCTACGATGTGTCTATAACTGTAAGAGAGGCTCGGTCTGTATCGTTCACAGTGAACAACACGAATTTCATCGGCCAGTCAAACGGTCACGCGATTCGATTTTATATGCCCGCAGTGGGGAACATAACCAAAACATCGAGAGCCACAGTAAAAATAGACAAAGTGATTTTTGATGCTCGTCCTGCCAGCTATTTCGCCCTTTACTTCCTAGGCAAGAAGTATGTAACCATACGCCGGTCGATTTTTCGCCACTGCACGTCTGTTAGCCAAGACCTGGGGAACTATAGTGATAGTAAGTTTCCTTATGAGACGGCAACAGGTGCTATCTCGATTCTTTCCAATCCGGACAAACGCTACAAAAAAGGGTGTATCCAACAAAACATAACCAACAACACTCCCCCTTTATGGAAATACGACAGTCACGTGACTGTTGAAGATACGTTATTTCAAGAGAACGCTGGGCTCAATGGGGGTGCAGTGTATCTTAGCAACGGAAACACTACCTTTCGGAATTGCTCCTTTGAAAACAATTTGGCAGCGAAGCACACAGGTCAAGTTTATTCCGCCTACGGAACTGGTCGAGTAGAATTCGTCAACTGCTCTTTTGTTAGTAGTACGTACCATGCAACTATCTCTGGCAGGAAATTCAAAAATGTCGCCTTCTTTTATTCTGAAAGCGGAGGACCCATCAAGTTTCGGAACTCGTCTATGTTTTCGAGCACCTCTACAAGGCGTTCGTTTTCTCTGTTGGCAGTTTACAACGGAGGATACGTTGATATCGACCGCGAAACTAGCATTCACTGCGAAGGAAGTCAGATCTCTCTCGGAAATGCAACGCATTTTGTATACACCGAAAAGAGACAACGCTTTTGCATAGAAAACGTGACGGTCCTTTCGTTTTCCTGCAAGCTTTGCTCTCCCGGATATTACAGCCTACAAACTGGCTTTTCAAAAGGTCTTGCTGTAGATGATTCATTCCAATGTCATCCATGTCCTTTGGGAGCTACATGCATAAGAAACGAATCAAGCATTGCGGCAGTAGAAAACTTCTGGGGATACAATGTGCCGGGAAGAGATGGGCAAGTACTCAACTTTGTTCCCTGCCCCAAGGGTTATTGCCGCTCACCGAGCCCGCAATCGTTAGTGTGCAACAGTTGTCACGGAAACAGGACTGGTTTTCTGTGTGGCCAGTGCGCGCCTGGTTACACTGAAACACTATTTAATTCTGAGTGCAGAAAAACAGCTCAATGTAAAGATTACCTCTTCTGGATAGCGATGTTTCTCTTCTCGGCTGCCTTGGCGCTATATCTGTTAATTGATCCTCCTTTGCTTCGACTTCTAAGTCCACAACAGATTTTATGGTTCATGAAAAAGAAGGAGAGAAGACAAAGCGAAGAGAGCAGTGAAAACTGCGAAGAGCAAGACAGTGGTTATACAAAAATCGCCTTCTATTACTACCAAGTCGCCGATTTGCTGTTAAGCAATTCTCTTGACGACTTGGTTTTAGAAATGCCCTTCGTTGTTGCTATGATTTCAGCTTTCAATTTTTAAGTCCGCGCTTCTTACCTAAGAATCGAGTGTCCATTTCCGGGATTGACCCCAGTCACCAAAGAACTGCTTCTCTCTTTGGTGGTGGTCGCAACAATGGCGAACCTCGCCCTCATTTTCTGCGCCCACTTGGTTATCAGCAGATTCCATAAGAAGGTGGAAAACCCATCGTGGCCGTCTTCTTGGAGATATTGTTGCTAGGATACGATAGACTGGCTGAAACTTCGTTGGCACTGATGCACTGTGTGAGTACTGGGGATGAGCATCGACTGTTCATTGATGGTACCACGATCTGTTGGCAGCCGTGGCAATACATCCTTCTTGGGTACATAATCGTGTTTGTGGTACCCTTTATCGCAGTCCTGTACTTCGGTTCTTCAAAGCTGCACAGTTCTTCCATTTCTTCAGGTGAATTTCTCGCAGCCTGTGTTATTCCTTTGCCATTTCTAATCTATTGGCTTTTTAAGCGCGTGTTCAAGAGAAGAAATGAAGAAAATGGTAGCGAAGAAGCTGCAGCAAGGCCGAACAATAGCGCTGAAGTAATGAAGATCCTAGACGAGCCATTTCGCGCACCTAATGATCCAGGTGGAGGCACTCATTACTGGGAGAGCGTTATGATTGGTCGACGGCTCATCCTTCTTACATTTCACTCTTTCATCCCTAACGCTATGATACGATTTTTCTTCATGGCTAGCGCATGCGTCTTCATGGCCATCCACCACATAATCAAGGCCATGAGGGCCATGTGTTAGAAAACTCTTAAATGGGTTAATCATGTATATCTACCCTCTCAAAATAAAGAACATTGTATTGTATTGTATTGTTAAGGCCCCATTCCGGAGTAAAACCGCTAACAAAGCCGAAACGATGTCCTTAGTCACCTTGGCAATCGTCGCCAAAATCAGCCTGATAAAGGCCACTCTCCTGTCTTCCGGGATAAGTGCCAAGGGAAGAAACAAGGTTTTCCTGAAGGGACTTCAGTGGTTCGAATTAGTTGCAATGGGGCTTGTTCCTGCATTGTTGTCCTTGCTAGCCGCTTTAGCCGTTTTGTCGCACACAATCCGTTTGATTATTTATCTTGTCAAGAAAATTGCCCGTTGCTCTCCAAAGGATAACATTGCTTACACACCTCTCGATGAAGTAACAAATCATCTTTGAAGGGGGTGGGGGAGGGGGTGGGCGTATGCTATAGCTTTTGTCGGTCATTTTTGAGACTGCCTATCGCCAAGAAGGTTAGGAAAAAAGTCCCTGTCGCATTTTAGCTAGTAACAAAATGTTGCTGTTGGTTCAGCATAAATTTTTGATACTCTGTTTTGGAATTTTTACGGCAGATGTAGAGCTTGGTAAGAATTAATTGTTATTAACCTTTCTCCCTGAAATGATCGTTCTTGAACAATACCATAATTAGATAACGTTACAAAGAAAATAACAAAAAAATGTTTGGAAATAACGGAAGAGAATTTGCTCTTTCGCTGCCGAAACAACCGAAATGCAAAGTGAACAGATGCCGCTTTCACTTTTTAAAAATGGATTGTCGCTGTCATAATTCTTTCCTTCTTTTCTGTCGATTGTTGGTTTTTTCTGAGAGGACAGTCGCCAGAGAGTTTTCGGCGCCATGTTGCCTATCGCTTCTACCCCTTGGAAGGCCTCAACATTGCTACCTGTTACCATGCCAACAATTTCCAAAGAGAAAATACAGTAGAAATTAATCGGTCAGGGGATGAGGGTAAGGGAAGATTTGAGCGTCCCCCTCCCTTGCCTAGCGTTTTGTTTATGCTGAGAAGTTTGCTTATTTTGCCCCTTATGATAAAAATAACAATTACCACCGGCCTACCATGAAATTTTCTTGACTTTCATGCCGTCTTACAGAGATTTTCTTCCATATCCCAAGCCAACTCCAAGAATATTTTAGATGAATGTCTAAATGTGTTATTAGTTAATTAGGATGAAGAGAATTAGTAGATATATGCTACATGGTGAAGACATAAAGTAGGGGGCAAACTTGTAGTCTTTTGCCTTACTGATCTTGGGAGTAACTCTTTACTACCCTGAGGCATAGGTTTGTGATTTATGATGCTAATTTCAAAATATAAACCTAATTATTGCACAACCTACAACCTACCTAGTTGCCAAACAATTTCCTTTCAGTGAAGTGAACAATATTGAATAGCCTACGCGATACTTGAGCCGCACATCTGTCGGGGGAGGGTGCGGCTACACGTTGGCTAAATTTAAAAAACTAATTCTAGCTGGAATTTGCATGTATCTGCAAAAAAAAAGGAAGCATTCTGTATAAACTATGACAAGGTGTTATTATTGGTTTTATGTTCTGTAGTTTTTGCTAACTATATATATCTATGGGTTTTCAACCCAATAATTGGATTATATAGCTTAAATAGTACACTATTAAGAGCAGATTAGGAATTTGGATCTCGTACTAAGTATTTTGGCATTAAACTATTAACAGTTTCACCATCCTGTTTTAGTTCTGCTTGGCATTGCAAGTCGGATTCTCGTCTTGTATAGAGACAATATCTTGAAGGCAATTTTTAAGATTTTAAGCTGTCCCAATGAAATATTGTAAACAATGACTTCTAAGCAAGCGTCTGTTACCATGTGATATCCAGGTGACTATTCTTCAGCGTAACTAAGGTAAACGAGCACATTGTGAATATATGCTGGCAAATAAGCATATGTTTAGTACAGACATCCCAAGAATTGTCACCAATGTTGCATCCGTAACAAGCATGTTAAGGAGCAGAAAATACTTTGCTAAAACATCAGCAACATTTCTGTTTGAGAAGGTTTACTATCCATAAGATGCAGACTACATTAAAATTTGACATTAGAAACTACGTCGACCATAATTTTGACTTAAATGATGATGACGACGAAGAATTAACAGGCATGTTGCACACGAACTTGGAAGTACTTGGATCTTTGGCAATGGTACGGGGATGTTACCGAATATACCCCAAGGGGATCTGTTTGAAGAGTTCCCTAGAAGGTAGAAATCTGGTTTTCTTCACCCGGTCGCTCAGGACGTTTGTATAAACGTGGAAGACCACAAGTCTTTTTGTGAGGCGCTGTATCAGCTGCAGAAAATTGATGAGCGAGAAATTGTTTACAGTAAGTTATTTCATTCTTTTGTTATTTGCACTGAGCAAGAATTTCTTCAAGTTGCTCGTTTTATTTCAAAGGATCTAAACGTATGGACTTGCATGCGCTTAGTTGATCTCGTGGTAACTGAAGAAAGCAGAACTATATTTAACAATTAATGAATGAGGCTGACGAAGGCGATTGGCGACCCACTCACCCTCCCCAGCGAGTTAGTCGGGTTTCAGATTACCTATTTATGTATTCAATTCAGTTTGTCTTGGGCTTGTCCCAGGTCTGATCGACTCTCCATACCTTATTATAATGTCATGAATAACAATACCCAGGGATGAATATTATACTATTACGGACTCTCGCTAATGAGGACACTAACTCAAGGTCCATACAATGTCCGCTATGAAGGGAGTTGACTGTTTTCCACGAGTGCGCGTAGCGCCGAGTTGGCTTTTACGCGCCTCGTTAGCTATAATCATCTCATATCCAACAAGCGCGAGTGGAATAATTGTTTTATTAAAAACACCCACAAAATATCGAGAATTCTTCCAGACATTATATTTGTAAAAACAAAAGATTTTCAGCTTGTTTTTTAATTTTGAGCAGACACGTACAGTTACCATATTTAGAGAGCATGGTATAATAGCTCATATACCGTGACGGCTAAGCGAATCAGAGTTTTAGAATTGCATTATCCAATGATTCCTCTCTCCCCTGCAGAAGCTCCCGATGGGTGTCCCTGTGCAGAGGCCTCTGCATAGGAGAGAGCAATGATTCAGTTTTTACTAAAAAGGGATATTTAGTTTAGCAGATATTCTTCAAATAGCAATTGTCATCTGTCGAGAAGTACTTTTGCTGTTCTTGCTTTGTTTTTAGGCACTAGTTCGTCTATTTCTCCTTCCGACGACACTGCAGGAGCCGTACACCGTGCCAACACTTATCACGGTTCCCCGATAAGAGGTTAACAGTGTGCAGTAAGTGAACTCGCATTCAAGCACTATGGAGAGGCGGGGGGGATAAACATTTTTCAAGTGGTCCCCTGGGTTAGAAAATGGACATGATACTGCTTGGTCTGATTTACTGACGGTGTCAATATTTGATCGCCAACTTTGGTTGGAGTTCGTTGCCTTTCTGGTGGTCTCAATGGGGCTAATCGTCAACTGTCAAAAAGGTTCTTTTAAATGGTTAGCCTTTAAAAATGAAGCACTGACCATACTGATTAGGGTTAAGCACTGAAAATACTGTTAAGGGTTAACGGTTAGCTTTTATTTAGGGTTAGGGCTTTCGCTACGGTAGTTAAATTACTCCCATTCACTGCAGCGAATCATCGGTGGCCAGTGGTTAGGACACGTGCTACTGATCCGGCACTCCGGGATCGTTTCCTGCTCTAGACTCGAAATTTTTTTTTCCTTTAAAATTGAAGAGACTTGCACTTTGAATCTTCAATGCTTACTCAAGTTTGAGCTTATAGAAGATAATGTCACAGTTTTTCAATGACCATGAAATTCAGAGTCCGCGGGTAGTAAGTTAATCAATTGTGGCCCTGAAAAAATTTGAAGGAAAAAAAACTACGAATTTTTAAGAAAATGCTTTTTTCGTGAGAAGGACTCTCAAACGCTGACAAACGTCAAGAAATAGCGAAAACTATAATTTCTATATGTTTGCTTTGCTCGAAATCGCGCGCATTTACAAGGCCCTAAAGCGTTTTGCTGACTTGCAAGGACCCATCTGTTATAACGATGCCCAAAATAAAGGGATGAATCTCATAGTTTATTATATATAATTCGTGTAAAGTTTGCTTATCATTTTCCCATAAATTATGACCTAAATTTGGAAACCACTGAATTTCTCGAATTGGGTCTTTGCGATTTTGGTGAAACTCTGTTCAGCGC